TGATTTTCTTTTTAACACTGTGGCCTTACCACTTGTTCTGTATCACTTTTACGCTGGTTATGGGTGAGGAAATCCTCCAATATCAGAGGCGAAGATGGAGGGGAATAGAGTGGGGCCAAAATATTTAATTTTAGATAACTATACCTGAAAATAGCCAACTTTCAGTTTTTTGCCACTAAAACATCTTTTTCTAAACATTCAATTGATGAATTTTATGGGTAATTTTGGACTAGCTCCGTCCAGTCACCCGCTTCAGATTTCTATCACATTTCTTTGACAAGTAACAAATAGCACGCCAAAAAATATTTTTTGAGGTTAATCAATGATGAGCACTTCAGATTTCTCGAAACGGATAGATATGCATGGTACGGATTTGGAGCAATGATTGATCTCCTCAATGGTACCACATGGGAACAATCCGGTGTCTTCCCAAGAGTTTCTCTATGTGATTTTGATGTGCGTCTTGCAGCCACAATTTTTGTTAATTTAAACATTTTGGCCACTATTCCCTTTTCAGGTACGAGTTATGGGAAATGTGCAAGAGCACACTGTACAGTGTGTACTTGTTATCAACATATTTAATGAGAAGATCTTCATATTTCTTTGGTTTTGGTAATAAAGACCATTGTTTGGCAAATTTAATATACCAAAGCAATGGCAAAGTTTAGGTATCTGATGCTGTTGATATTCACACTGGGTTCATTTCTCTATTGGTTGTTCGTAGCGGTCATACCGTATCCCAATCGTCGATTTATAAAAAGGCATCTAGAGATCAGCGAAATGCAATTCGATCCAGCAGGTAAGCATTTAGTGAAGATGTGCCCGTTATCTCATCGTAATACCTGTTTTACTTCAAATTATTTCTAGACTTTTACAACTCATTTTGAAGGGCTAGCCTGAATTTAGATTTACTTGTAAACTCTATCCATTATGTAGGATTACGGTATGAAGTTTAGGTGACTTAAATCCAGGCCTGAAGCACTATTGGTTTAATCGAATATAGC